TTATGAGAAATATCGATGTGGACCCTCTAATGTTTTAACAGTTTGTTCATCCAAAAAAAATGCATATTAGATGATTTTTTTCGGTTGTCTCTCTTGTTGTAAGTTATTGTCCATTTTTAGTGCATTCATCTCTGTTCGGTAGAACTCCTGCAGAGACAGAATACATACTACGAATTCTTAAATCATTTTCACCGGTAATAAAAAGATGTTTACTACAATATCTTATAACTGAAATCCATACAATGGATTCCCATTGCAATGAAAAAGCTTTTTTTTCATAGTATGCAACTGTCGAAAGTAACACGACTCTGGAAGAACAAGAATTGAAACAGTAGCATTTGTATTCTCATAAATAATTCTTGTAGTTCAAGCAATAGAACAGAAGTATATACAGTCAGAAGAACACACAATTTGGGAACGTAGGTTTAGTCATTTTTATTTAGTTCCAGGTTTATGACAGTATTTATCACGGGCTGACAGTTCGAGAACCACTGGAGACCTGGAAGCGCTGAATAGCTATTTCATCATAGCATTGGACTCCTCAGTAGTACGCGCCAACTACGCTGTCATGAATCGAATTTAGGACCTTCATTCCTCGTAGCGAACGCATCAACCATTCACTCACTAGACTGGGGTTCGGTTATTCACAGTTTCCTACTCCTATCAATTCATGGTATCGTGCTACTATTCTCTTCATCTGAGATCCACTTGAATTTTGACTGACTGACCTCACCGTTTGTGGCTTTTCATTGGAACTGCGGGATTTCCATCACGAAGCATGTCACTAATGAGAATTATTATGTAATTTAGTTTGAGGTTTACAAGGATTTTATTTATTCCAAGGTAGTACTCATCACGCATTGACATCAGCTGGAGAACCATTGAAAAACTGGGAGCACCTTAGCTTGTAATAGATAACCAACAGAAGCATGATGACGCATTTACGTCACAAGTTCAGAAGAAATAGTGATAAGTTTAGTTGGAAGAGCGGACACGTCTCTTCGCTGCACGCATGGATGCACGCAAAAAAAGTAGTTCAAATAGTTCATATAAAGTACAAAGGCTCGACAAACCAACTAATTACAAGGGACTCTAAGAAATGAAATAAAGAGCTCGGCCCTTCTATTTCAACCGGTGAGGCCGTTTTTTCATAAAATTAGATTTCATTGGTTAAGCAAGCAGTTGTTACTGTAAACTTAGAATCAATCCTAAGTGCAGACGGTTACTTCATTTCTTTCAGATAATGGAAAATTTATTTGAATGGTGACTACTGACACTAGAAAACTAATAATCAGTCACTTTACATACCACTAATACATTAAAGATCATGGGGAATTTTCAACCAAATAATACCTACTACTTTGACTTGTTGAAATCAGCAGTAGTTAAGTATAGTTAACAATTGGCTGGATCATCAGTGTAGGAATCTAAGTCGTAGAGTTTTCTTAATTAATTAAATATTGTCTGCTTTACATAAAACTGTCCTTAACTGCAGAGTATCAAGTACGGTTCACGTTATCGATGGCAGTATCAGTTGTATGACAAAAAGGTGCTTTTAAAAATTTAGTGGGAAAACGCCATTACTTCAGATAAAACATATTTCACACATATTTCCTCTTCAACCACTATCTTAAGTTTAAGATAAACGTACTCGATAGACAAGTACGCTGCAAGAAACTGGTCTGCAATACGTACGAGGTCATTAAAAAATCTGACTACATTTTCATAACACTGAAAATGAGCATAGTTTGACTAAGTAAATCATTAGGCTGTTAACCAATGTATTCGTTTATGAAGCTTATTTTATCCTCTTCATGTCTGTTGCATTACTTAAAGTCATACTCGTTTCTGTTGTTCTGGTATGATTGTCAGTGAAATCACTGTGCCATAATTTTATCTGCATATATTTATCGAGAAAAACTTACATATATATAGACTCCTGTGAGATATATTGATCACTGAGCGATCAAACATTGCTACACATTCTGTTATTTTTATATCTACATAAGGTATCAATAAGGGAAGTAATAATCACATATGCAAATTTCTGTAAATGCGGCTACCTTAAAATAGAAAAGTTACATAGTCCTTCATATAACTAGATCACATGCACAATTTTCCAGTAATGACAAGTTATATAAATTATAAATGACCTTCATTCGTTCTTGTTTTACTTTTAAGGTTGTCATGCTTTGTCTTAGTAATCGACACTATATAAAATCGTCTGACCTTTAACCGTTAACATTCTAAGATAAAACTGCAAAAGGTCGTCACGCTTATAGATTAGTGAACCTGACAATTTAGCATAAATTAAGACTAAAGGAAGAGTTAAGCTTAATTTTTGGTTTTCATGACTTCAGCTTTACGGGAATAAATTAATTCATTCATCGTTATCAATAGACTCAGTTGATATATTAGTGAAAACCATAAGAATGAAACTCCAGTGATAAAGCAGCAAAGAAGATAAACTGAACCCTTTATTTCAGTATAGCAGTTAGCTTTTTGTTTATAAGCGCAACCATGAGTAGTTGCACGGTCAGGACAGATTCGCACTATATGAAAAAATTATTAACGGTCAGTTAAATTCGGCCTTCATTCTTGTAAGCACATAGTCGTACAAGTTTGCAATGATAATGTGGTCAAATACTTTATAAATATCGATCATTTCCCTAGCATATTTTGGTGATGCCCTTGTTATGATTCAAGTCTTATATATGGATGATGTAGCTGTGTTATTTGCACGTGACATTGCTCCATATGAAATAGGTATACCGTGATGGTGTGCCTAAAATATATGGGCTGCTAAAGGTATACCCAAAAAAGGAAGAACATCAGACAAGTAATTTGACAGCTGCTTTAAGTTCCGCAAAACTTTATCAATCTCATTCAACAGCTATGTGCTATGCTATATGATGCTACATGGCAAGTGATTCACAGTGGAAAACTCAGTGACGCCTTTGAAGTGAGGACAGGAGTAAGACACGGCTGCATACTATCAGCCATGATTTTCCTGAGTGTAGTGGACGGGATCATACAGTTAACCGTGAGGAGAAAGAAAATGGACATACTCTGGCTGGACCGATGAAAAGACCCCACAAAAAGATTTGGTTTTCGCCGGTGATGATTTTGGGCTTATATCGCACAAGCTTGAAGATCTACATGTAGAAACTTACAAGTTGCTAGAAGAAGCGAGGCAGCTAAGGAAGACGAGACTTCAAGTGAGTATAGAGAAGACAGAGGTGATGAAGTTACCCAACCAACAACAACAAGCACCAATCACCATAAACAGGAGAAATCCAAAGGAAGTAGTCTCTTTCACCTAACCAGGCAAGGCAGTATCGTTTCAATTACAGGTGGCACAGGCACAGACGAGGATGTCAAAACCAGGATAAGAAAATCAAGACAGGACTGTCTTCATTAATCTGAAATCAGTGTGGTGATCTACTCCACTCCACTCCATTCAGCATAAAGCATAAACAAGATCCGGATTTTCAACACTAATTCAGTCAAGTCAGTGCTTCCATGTGATGGTTCAGAAACTTGGCACGTTACGCAAAGCACTTCCAACAAACTACAGGAATACATCAACAGCTGCCTACACAGCCTCGATACTGACATTGAAAATCAGGTGGCCAGAATAAGAAGAATAAGCAACAAGGAACTGTGGCTGGCTGGCTGGCTGGCTGGCTGGCTGGCTGGCTGGCTGGCTGGCTGGCTGGCTGGCTGGCTGGCTGGCTGGCTGGCTGGCTGGCTGGCTGGCTGGCTGGCTGGCTGGCTGGCTGGCTGGCTGGCTGGCTGGCTGGCTGGCTGGCTGGCTGGCTGGCTGGCTGGCTGGCTGGCTGGCTGGCTGGCTGGCTGGCTGGCTGGCTGGCTGGCAACGAACCAACCAAGAACCCATCCATCACCCAAGAAATATGCAGAAGAAAGTGGAGATGGATTGGATCAGGCATACACTGAGAGGACCGTTTGGAGACATCATGCACCAGGCCAAGTGGTCGAGTGGAACCCGCATGGGAATTGACGAGTTGGACATCCGAGACGATGGTGACATGGAGGAGATGGTGTGAGGAGGAAATGAAAGCTTATGGGCATTCATGTGGCCAGATTGGAAAGACTGAAGAGGCGAGAGTGCAGTGGAGGCGTGCTAGTGAAGCCATATATTCCACTAGGAACCCAAGGGACAAATAAGAATAATCATAATCAACAAGTTAAGAGAAAACATCATGCTGAATGGCGGTGGACATCTAAGCTCACCACAAGAGTACAACATTTCTGGAATTGTTACTCCGAAATTTAGATTTTCATACTGACTGGATAACTTTTCACCACAAAACGTACTCATGCCCACCTATTCACTATTCCTTTCAACAACGTACCTAACGATTAGACAACAACGTAACGACACCTGGTCACTGTATCTTACTGCCTATCTTACTGTTATTGTTAACACTATTCAGATGCTATAATTATTTCAGAAATACTGTAAAAGGAGCAGATTTATGATAATTTACTTGATTGTGGCTAACAGAGGAATTCCGGACGCGCATTCGTCCCATTTAGTACGTTTTAGTTGGATGTGACTGCATCCCAATAAGACTCGGACTTCATACCCATCGCTCCAAACACCGAAGCGTTATCCACTAGGCCACTGAGGCATGATAGCCACCACTTGTACAACGGTATTAGTTATTACTATTCGCTGAATCATTCACATCTCATTTCAGTCCCGATTTGGCGGAATTAATTCATCATGTGAGAGGACTTAAGTTGGCAAATAAATCCTTATGCTCAGTCTATCTTCCAATGAAGCCTGTTCTACATAACCTGATCCAAACCCTTAGTGTATATGAATATTTTGGTAAAATGTAGTTTATTCCTGGTCATATTTCAGAATCTGGAGTTTGTATGGCTCATGGCGCGTCAAACGTTTCATTAGTCCATGAGGCATATAATCTACAGTAAGTAATAAAAGAAATGTGGATAAAAATAAAACAACTAACCATTATTTTACCAGCTGGATATGAGACGGTAGTAAACCGTTCACAATATAATTTCATATTCAATTGTTGCCTGGCAGACATACCTAAACGAGTATGTCTAAACCAGTTTATTAACAAGCTGCATCTACCCGTCTCTTCCCAATAAGATGGAGTTGAATTTTCAGAGATTGTTATATCATTATTTGATGGCTGAACGGTGAAAATATCTCGAAGATACTTATCTTGTTGTGTTTTCAGACATGTTGGCGAGGACTGGAGATCTGTAGTTGGCGATTTCGGTGGACTGATGCTTATATTACTCTTCGGTATGGTTGGTGAGTGTGATTGATTCTGCTGGTGTATATCATTAATCTTAATGACTGGTATGGATGATACATCACTTTTCTTTCCGTACACTGTTTTAATACGACGTAATTTTTTGTAACGATTTACTAAATGTCTACTTGGAAAATAATTTTTACTCAATAAGTTGATATTTTCTTCTGACTCAGTAAAATCATCAAATTCTTGGTCATCTCTACTATCAATAAACAATCCAGGATAATCATCATTTATGCCATCATTTGTACTCTGTAGACTTAATGAACGCTGATGAGTCATTGCGAATGGTGATAATTGTTTATACTGTATAATTTGTCGAGAAGATTTAATTCTCAATCTTTTATGCCGTGAATAAATTTTATATAACCAACGAAATATGCCTAAGAATATAGTGATCGTAACTACTGAACTGGACACAGCTAATGGCAACCACCATGGAAATGGATCACGAACACACGGCATTCTATTAAATTTTTGTCAAATATTAAACACCGAAATCGAACCTGTTTTTCACTGTGGTCAGTTGAGTAACTATGTGCGAAAAGGTTAACAGATTCTACGATATCCAGTTTTACAGCATAATTCACTGATAAATTTATAATATATAATCCCTTTCTTAGCATTCATATCATTTGCGAAAATGCATAATTGTATAAAACGAAGTGAAAATAGCAGGCTTTTATAAATTCACAATGATATGATCACTTAAAAATGATTGGTTCACAGATTGAATATCGTAGTTTTGTGTAGTGCTAATAGAGCTATTTCCTTACTTCCTCTTGACACCCACACCCACACACACAAACACACTCTTGAAAGCTTAACTCGAAATTAGTAGGTTAAATTCTTGAAAACTTCATTACGATGACTGATGTCTACATAGTACAGTGTTACTAATTACTTACACTTAGCGTATTTCGATTTTAGCGCGGCAGCTCAAGGAAATGTGCATTTTTAAATCCAAGTCAACAACTACTGGTATCTTCTTAAAACATTTGATAACTAAATATTTTGCAAGGTGACCTATTTACATATTAAGTTAGATAGTATATTTCATGTAAGAAGGTATGTCTTTACACTAACTATCCTGTTAGTGATGCAAAATATTTGACTTGAGAGATTAGCTTTTCGAGACATTGCAGATGAAATTCTTACTGACAATTGTCAAACATTGAAATTTAGAGGTAGTATTCATCATGGGCTGACATTAGTTAGGAAACCACTGAAAATCTACGAGCACTGGACAGCTGTTTAGTCCTAGTATGAAATGTCAAATTAAAGCACCCAACTCTTTCAGTGATTAAAATTTAGTTAACCTTTATGCTGTTTGCACACTTCTCATGCACAAATACTGGACTGATTTGCTTGGGGATATCGCTGATAAGTTTGACCTCAAACTTTTGAAATGACCATTCGATAATTAGATTATTTTGATCTGGGTAGTCAAATATGTAGATTGGTATGAGGTTATTGAACTACTTGAAGATTGTAATGTCACCTCAGTTGGTTGGTTTCTAAAAGAAATTCATTGAGACCACTGTTCGCAGCTGTGAAACTTCTAAACTGTTAGCAGCAACAATATAGCTTGTAAACAATTTGCAAATCAGCCATTTATGCTAGACTGGCTTTCCAAATTTAGCTAGCCAGTGATAATTGTTTGGTGTTCTCTAAGCTTTTAGGTTTGTTCTTAGACGTCTGATCGCCAGGATAGGCAACTTCTTTAGCATTCACTTGGCATAAAAGAGAAGCATTTCTATGTTAATTGGATGTTTATGAAGAATAATTGCCGACCTTAATCATAGTTGGCTTTTATATAAGGTTGACATTTTCTTCCAGCTTATGAGTGACTCCAAAGGCCACCCTAGCAAGGACTAAAATATCCAATAAGGTTTTCATATATAAGTTGGAAAGGAAGATTTTCATGAAATAAAGAAGTTTAATTGGTTATTACTTTGTTATTAGGGTGACGTTTAGAGTCACTCCTGCTTATCAGACGTTGGTCTTTATAACTATTCTTATCATTTGACCTAATGTCTAATTATCGATTCCCTGGTTTGGTTATCAGTTGGCTAGTCTCATTCTTAGTAACCTGCATATTCGGCTAATCCCCACCTGTGTGCTGATTGCCAAAGGACTAGAATACCACATTTCTAGGAACTCTCTTGAAGTTTTTGAACTTTCTTGTTGTAATATCTTCACGTTGTCCGAATCAAGTTTGTGGTTGTGTTCAGCTACATGTATAGATAACAGTGAGGATGCATCATGCGTTTGACTGCAAGTTGGTGCTTATAAATTCTTTGGCCTATTTTTTTACGACTGGATTGGCCTGTATAGTGACGTTGAAAGTTCTTGCTACTAATTTTGTGGACTATTATCACCTTTTTCCTTTGGGCAATGGATCCTTTAGCTTGCATGACAATGTCTGCAAAGATTTGGTTGGTTTGTGGTCCATCCAATGAATGAAGTAATCGGCTGACAGTTTCTGAGTCATCTTTGGTGTATGGTAAAGTGATTCACTCTTTAGGTTGAGGTAATTGTCCCGATGCGTGTTACCTTGGATGGCATTTTTCAAAGGGGTTGACTGGATAGTCATTGCCTCCGGATCCTTTGTTCTGACTTTCTTGGTTGTTAAGTCCTGGAATGAGTCTTAGCACGTGTGAATGTTGCGTATAAACAACCCTTCTAATGAGATATTGGGTTGTTGTTGTGGTTCAAAACTTGATCTGTGTGTGTCACTTACTCGTACACGTGATTCTGTAAGGTTCCATCATATGGTCTACCGATAAAAACGTCTTGGAACGCGATCTCATCATTCTCTTTTTCTTTTGTGAATCAACTATCATGGGAGGTTTGGTTGATGAGATTAAACAGGTTTCTAATCCACTTGTTTCGACAACTAAAAGAGCGTCGTTGACGTAGCGAATCTAGACTTTTCATCTGATAACTGGATGAATGTTGATTCGAATTCTTCCACCACTGCTTCACCGACCAGTCCCCATACTGGTGAGCTAATGGAAGTTCCTTCAATTTGCTTGTGGATTTTCCCGTTGAACTAAAGGTATATCGCGCTATATAGGCTGGTTAGTTCTATCACGTTTGTAGCAGTTAGGTTGAGGATTTGAGGATTCTGGTCATTGTCGAGAAGGATATTCACTGCTTTTTCGCCAAGACCCGAGTTGGATGATGGAGAAAGTGTAGTTACATCAAAGGACACCTTTTTTTTCGTCGTTTTCGCTAGGAATGAAGTTTTTGAATTGACTGAGTGTTGAATTCCATCAGTATAATTTTTTGGTTTGCTGTACAATTCTTTCGATAAGTTAAGTAATGATGTTTCCGGTATTAACACCATTTGTCACAATGGAGTATCTACTTCGTCTGATTTTAGAATCTAGGTAAAATCAGGCCAATCATCTTCATTCACTATTGTTCTTCTTACGTAATATGACAAGTTGTAACTAGATTGCTTAGTTGTCCTTGCATAAGATTGTCCGCTTGCCTAATAGGATTCTTATCTACCAGTTAGTAAGTGCTATTTTCACTGCGTACTTTATGTGCTTTTTCCACATAATTTACTTTGTTTATAACAATTATTTGCCTTTCTTTGCTGGTAGTATCACAATTTTCCTATCTGACATGAGTGGGTTCAGTGCTTTCTCCTCACATGTTAAGATAGTGCTTCTTTCTCGTGATTCTCCTTAACGGTATAATTATCTCTCCTGGTTCTAGTTGTTTTTTGCTGTTATTCCTGCAGTTTTGAATGAAGACTCAAAGGCTACACAGTAATCCAATAAATTCACATTATCCATACTGTAATTTAATCCTTTTCGAAGTAAATAGTATTCTGTCAAGTATTAAGTTTTTTTGAAAGGTGTACTACCAATTTCTATCTGGCTTCTCCCTAATCTGATTAAGAGAGCTAGAGCAGCTTCTTTCTTATTTTTCCTCTTACTTTTCACCCTTAGTTTTCGTTGTTATACTTACAGCAGTCGTTAGTTGACCAGTTCCATATAACTTGGGCAAACTAGCTCTTTTGTAAGTCCAATTATTCCGAGTAGATATGATAAGCTGGAATTTGAGCGTCATAAAAACTGTCCGTTTTAGGGTGGCTGCGATCTGTCTTAAGACATCTGAGTATCCACATGAGTGACTTCTAACTACTCATACTCACCGTTAGTAGTATAGTAATTTGTTCTGGTAATAAATGAAAACTACTTCTATAGCCACTATTTCCTAACAACCCTGATGCTAAATAGATCACTGTAAACGAGTGCTGGCTGTTTCTAAACCGTATTTGAATGAATTCTGAAACATTTAACTGTGAACACAGCTAATTGGTCTTCGACTATTTATGTCAGTCAGTAGTATATAACTTGTAACATTTAACTACTGCTTATCTGGTAGTAGGATGCATGCGAAATATAGTGAAATAAACGGCTATTTGTGCACAGAGATTCAGGCAGCAAATAGCTCAACAAAACAAGTTAGAAGTCAAAATACATGACAGTGCTGACTATGGTGAAAACTTCGGATACTGTGTCTTGGCTCAAAAAGACAACACATTTAACACCTTGCAAAAACTATCCAAGGTACGCTCTTCCGTATTTTGAGGTCAGCTAAGCATTATCGTAACTTGTGGAGCAACAGCGTAAATACTGTAAGGATGTAAGTCATACAAATAAGTGTATCTCAAGGTTGTTCAAATTTTATCCTAGTAAGCCACGTTGCTTTTTCCTCTTACTTTTTGTATGAGTGGCTGTCTGATGAAGAGTAGTAAATCCTAGATCGTATGATCCGTATTAAGATAAGTGCTTTTTTCGATAGAAAAATCTAATTTTATGACTTTAAATAAATACATCTCTTAAAAATGCATAGCTATATTTGGTTCCATGTGTAGTTGTATCAAGACCACTATAGTGCACACTGTGGATAGCTATTAATATTTCTGGACTAATAATACGTGCTAGCTTCCAATAGGTATTGTTTTATTACTATACAAACAACCGCAGAATGGTTGCCAATACGACTTCATGTCATTTATGACAGTCAGATGGCATATCACAGGTACGTTTGAACTGAAAAAAGACAGATATCCAAGTTAGATCCACCAGAAAAGTCTTCAAAACCCAGACTTGATAAATCAGAATAACAGCAGTCTCCATTACTTACTGCAACATATTCAATCTCTAAGAATTGTGGCATCCTGTAAATTTTTTGATAAAGTAAAGTGCATTCAACTTAACAACTTAAATATTCATTAATTCCTGTTTATCTGTGTTAAAGTTTGAATAACCAGTGAGGAAGAGACTTAGCTGAAATACTTGAACAGGTTTTATCTATGCTTGGAGCTTAAACCCACGGAGGGAAAATTATATCCAAGGAATGAAAGCAGATATAAAGGTGATATACTTTTCATATGCAAAAGTCCTGAAATGATTATGGCACAGTGATTATAAGTTGAATTA